TTCTACATATATGGGGCTATAGAACACCTAGCATATAATTTGAGAATTTGTAGGATTCCAGTCTGCATAAAAAACTTGTAAAATCCAAAATTAAAAAAAAAAGTGAATAGGGAATACTATTTTCATATTTTTTAACTGCTATCACTTTCTAGATCATTAATATGAATGTTCATCTCCCCCTGAGATCTTTAAATGATTTGATAGTGTGTAAATCAAGGTATATTTGTACAAGGGCTTATCTAATTCATTCATTCTACAAATAAGTATTGAGTCCCAATTTTGTCAGTACTGGAAATAAAGTGGAATATTAACCAATCCCTGTCTCATAGAATTTATATTCCAGTAGAAATGGATAACCATCAAGTGAATGCATAAATAAAATCATTTTATTTCAGATAATGATAGGGGTTATGAAGAAAACAGGATGCTTTGACATGGAGGAAAGCACTTCAGAATTTGAGCTGGGGCCTGAACAATGTCCTCCAAAGACATGGACTTTTTTTCCCCCAGTACTGAGAAATAAACCCAGTTCCTCAAGAATACCTGGCAAGTACTACTTAGATCCTCATCCCTTTTTTAATTTTGAGACAGGGTCTTCCTAAGTTGTCCAGGCAAACTTTGAACCTAGGATTTTCCTGCATCAGTCTCCCAAGTAGTTGAGTTTATAAATGTTTGAAACCATGCCCATATCAGACTCTTTGGTGTGTGTGTGGGGGGGGGGGGGGTATGGAGGATTAAACTGAGGGGCAGTTGATCACTAAGCCATATCCCCAACCCTATTTTGTATTTTTTTAGAGACAGGCTCTCACAGAGTTACTCGGTGCCTCGCTATTTTGCTGAGGCTGGCTTTGAACTCGAAATCCTCCTGCCTCAGCCTCTGAGCCATTGGGATTACAGGCATGACCCACTGCTCCTGGCTCAGACTTTTTACTTATTTTTTTGATATTGGTGATTGATCCCAGAGCCACACGCTAAGTAAGCACATGCTGTACCACTGAACTACACCTCAAGCCTCATACACAAGCATTTTAAACATGACCAGTTCAGGTTTCCACGGCCTTTTTCTCCCTGTCTTAACATCATGACTTATATTAGAATTACCATTTGATTTGTCCCCAGAAAAAAAAAATTAAATAGTCTCAATTAATGTAAATGTAAAGGACCAGGTGCAGTGGTGCATGTATGTAATCCCAGTGACTAGGGAAGCTGAGGCAGGAGGACTGAAAGTTTGAGGCCAGTCTCAGCAACTTAGAAAAGCCATAAACCTAAAGAGACTATGTCAAAATTTTAAAAAGCGTGTGTGGGGAGTGGGAACCCTGAGTTCAATCCCCAATAGCAAAAAAAAAAGTAAATGTAAAGAGTAAATGTAATTCAGTGGTAAAGGAACTGCCTAGCATGCCTGAAGCCCTGGGTTCAGTCTCCAGCCCTGAAAAAAAAAAAAATGTAAATATAAAGCCAGGCTCAGTGGCACACCTGTAATCCCAGCTACTCTGGGGGCTGAGGCAGGAGGATTGCAAATTTGAGGCCAACCTGACCTCAAACTCAACTTGACCCTGTCTTAAAAAATAAAAGAGCTGGGGATGTAGCTCAGTGGTAGATCATCTGCCTAGCATGCAGTTCAATCCCTAGTACTACAAATAAAAAAAGGAATATGAATATAAGTATTTATTACCATTTATACAAAAATTTGTTCTTCGGGTACACAAGGGAAGAAAGATTTCCTGAAGAGAAGGTAGAAGCTATGTGGTGCTATGCAGTGTGAGGAAAGCCAGGTACTGGGAATTTGTGATTTACTGTTTGGAGATTTGAGAGTGAGAAGAGGCAGTGTTCAAATTTATGACTTGATTTAGGTCCATCCATTTTGTAGCTTGCTTAACAAATTCTATCATCTATAAGAGCTCACATTTGACATTAAATGTATACAATTATCAGCCCTCCTCAATCTTCTCAGGTTAGGAAAAAGAAATACACAGGCATATTGTGAGTGGCCATAATAACCAAGCCTCTTACTATGTGGCATTTTAATTTCTCCAAAATTACCAGTAAATACAGCATATGGTAAGTAGGCTTGGGAATAACCAACCAATCAATAAAATAAAACTATTGCTAGATTTTTAGAGGTGCTAGCCACTGGGTCAGCACCACCCAAACATAATTAAACTGTAAAATAATGTAGAATGTATTTTATTTATTTATTTATTTATTTTGGTACCAGGGATTGAACCCAGGGGCCTAACCACTAAGCCACTTCCCTAGCCCTTTTTATTTTTTATTTTGAAAAAGGGACTCGCTAAGTTGCTTAGGGCCTTGCTGAGTTGCTGAGGCTGGCTTCTATTGAGATCCTCTTGCCTTAGCCTCCTGAGTCACTGGAATTACAGGTGTGTGCCACTATATCTGGTTTGGAATCTATTTATGAAGAAGTGAATTAAAAGACAAAATCAGTAGACAGAAATGAATGCAGAAGCAATATTCTAGCATGTTCAGATAGGGAGTTTCTAGCAATTCATAAATTTCAGTATCTGACATTGTGAGGTTTTCTGAAGTTCAATATTTATCATTCTAAATGTAATTAAGTTCACAAACACTTTAGAGGACCCTAATAAATCAACCAGAGTTCTGTGAGGAAATGATGAATAGCTGATGGTCCTGATCCTTAAAAATTTATAATCCTAAATAAATAAAAAGCTAAATGTAAAATAAGACCAATTTTGGAAGCATTATAGAGAGTAAAACTCTTCCATAGTGTGAAACTACAGAAATAAGGTAATTAAATCCAATACAAGAAGACTTAAATGCTGTCTAGAGTTTAGAGGAACTGGTATTCTGGCCAAAGTAAGTCTAGAGGAACTGGTATTCTGGCCAAAGTAAGTCCAGCCATTATGGACAGTAATGGTGTTTCAGGTAGAGAAAAAAGTGACCAAAGATGCCAAGATGGGAACACATAAGCAATATTCAGGGGACACAGGATACATACTGGTAGTCAGAAGACAATGCCACAATTTGGGGAGAGTGAAGCTAAAGAAATAGAAGAGTTATCAAATAAGGAAATGACATTGAACATTTCTGAGTAGGAAAGTGACAGGCTTAAGTGTAAAGAAAGGATTGAAGAAGCAGGAATATGCATTAATTTCAGTTCATATGAATCCTTCTCATGGCCCACACATTGGGATTAGACTTCAAATTCGGGGATTAGAGAATTTTTAGTGATAAGAATGAATGATGATGTATGAGTGTAACAAGGAGGAGTTGAAAATTATGCTGCAATTCAAGTCTGAGTGACTGGGAAGCAGTTAATGTTAGTCACTAAGCAGAAGCAGGTGTGAATCAGAATAGGTTTGGTTTGGGACATGCTGTTGACATGACAAAACTGATGTGACATAACCTATTTCCTGATTCTTCCTGGGACTGTCCATAAGCTATTACCATGACTAGTATATCACATTGGAATAACCCCTTGGGGATAGAGTGCCACAGATACCATTTCCATATGACGCATTCTGTTCTTCTGGTGATTGGAGAGTTGATTTTTGAGACTGTTGAAAGGTTCAAATCATCTTGATTGCACAATGTTGAATGAGCACCCACAGGATACCATAGCTAAGGTGTACTTCAATAATATTTATGTCCTCACAAGAGGGCTACAAATTATGAACTGCAAACTGAAAAGTAGCCTTTATTCTGAGGAAAAATCAATTTAACATTCTTCTATCAAATTGCTTTTGTTTGTTTGTGTTTCAAACACCCCACTAGAGACTGACTATGGTGCAAAAATTAACCCAAAAAGCCTGTCTTAAGTAGGTCTGCTGTTGAAGGTAATGAACACCTTGGGCTATCTTTCACTAGAATCCTGTTTAAGACGTTCTGGAGCCAGCCCGCAGGTTGGGAATCCAGCTTCATCACAAATAGGCAGGGATGTTGGACAAGTTACTCAATCTCTTCTACTTCAAATTCTTTTACCTGTAAAGCAGGCACGCCTCATTCGTTAATTCCACAACCATGACCCAGGTTTCCCGGCTGCCAGGTACTGTGCTAAAAACATGGGTTTACAGCGGTGAGGACGACTTTTGAGGTTAACATTCAAATGCAGGGAGATAGGCGAGGAGCTGGTTTCCGAATGAAAGACTCGCAGTGTTAAGAATCAAATGGGATAATTTTTGTAGAGCTTTTGATACAGTAACTCTTTAAGGGAAACTTAATAAAAGCGAGCTATTGGTTTAGGATTTGCCCCTTCCTACTCCCTACCAAAATAAATACCCCCCGCCCCCCCAAAAAAAGCTCGTTATTATTCTCATATTTCACCATCTCTACATATAGTTTTTGGGATGGGGAGGGTCCTATTCTCCCCAGAATAGTTAACACAATTCACTGCTCTTTCCCAGACCCACTGATCCCCTGGGACGTATTGCGGGGAGGTACCTCTCCTACTAGATAAGATCCTCAAAAAAGCCCCTTTGCTGAGTTGCCAGGACAGAGATGTTATGAGGTGGGGTGAGGTGGCGGGGGGGGGGTCTGTGAGCGAATATTCAGGGCTCATCTCGCCGCCCCACAGAGGATGAGCGCAACAAACACAAAGGCTTTGGGTCTTCTCCAAAAGCAGAACAACGTGGGAGATACTCCGTCCTGCCGCCGGAACCCAAACCCAACGATCCCCGCCCAGATAACAATGGCGCTGGCGAGGGCGGGGACGCGCGCCGGAGTGTCGGAGGCGGAGGCGGAGACAGACAGCCGATCCCTCCCGGGCGGCTCCGAGGCTTCACGTGACAGTCGCCCCGCCCTGCCCCGCCCTGCCCCGCCCCCAGGCCCTGGCGGAGAGGGATCGGAAAGGGCGGCGTTGCAAGCAGCTAAGCGACGGCGGAAGTGACGAAGCGGCGTAGCTCGCTGCGTGCAGCGACGTGGCGGCGGGGTCGGAGCTGGGCGGCGGAAGTGGCTCCAGCGCCGGGACCTGAGTGTTTGTGTTTTGGTTTGTGAAGGAGCCGGCGGCCGGCCTGAGGGGAGGAGGCAGAGGAGGGAGGAGGAGGAAGAATCAGTCGGAACTCGAGCGCCGGCAGCGGTGGCGGAGGAGGAGGAGAAAGGAAGGAGGAAGGCGGAGCGGAGAGAGGCGGAGACGGAGCCCGACAGGGGCGGCACCACGGCTCCAGCTCCTCACCGTCCAGTGTGAGGGGAGCGGCGCGAGGAGGAGACGCCGCCGCAGCCGCAGCCACAGCCTAATTCGTCCTTCGGGCCACGCCTGGGCCTTACCACCAGGAAGCTGCGGCCCCGCGGCTTCGCGTGGCGCGGTCTCAGGTAACCAAGCCGCCCCTCCCCCTGCGCAGAGCGGCCCGAGACCCCAGGTTATCCGCGGTCCCCTGCCTGTCCGCGGCCCTGCGCGCTCTGAGCCTCCCGCCCCTCCTCCCTCTCGTGCATCATCCCTCTGGACCGGAGAGCTATTGAACCCGGCGCCTTGTCCTGCCAGTTCTGGTGACTCATCCCTCAAGGAGCTCCAGAGACAGAGATTTGGGGACTAGCTCAGGGAGCGACGGGTGTCACCCTCTTCCCTTCTCAAGATGGCGCCGTGGAAAGAGTCCTGGAGGCCGCGGTTCCGCCGGGCCCCTGCCCTGGCAGTCCGAAGGGTCGCAGTGAAAGCTAGGTCAGGGGAGGATAGAAAGGCGACCGAAGGGGCTGGTGCGTGTCGTTCGCGCCAGCCAGCCGGGCTTGGCTCTCAGCTACTCAGGTGGTCTCCAGACGGGAGCCGGGGCCTACAGCAGGTGTGGATTTGGGGAGCTCCGCCTACCTGCGACTTCCAAAGACGGGTAATGGAAGCGATGGGAGGCTGGTCAAAATAAACTGGTCCGAGACTTTTTTCGTATCTTAGGGGAGGTGGTGAACCGCGGCTTTAAGGAAATTCAAGATAATTGGGCCTCTGAACTCCCTTCGCGGGCAGAGACCATGAAACTTACTCTAATATTCCCTTCTCTGGAAGCAGGTTACTTCCCTGAGACTTCCAGATCTTTTAAACTCTGAACGTCATAGTTCACATACTTAGTTTTTGTCTCGCTGAAATGGAATCAGCTTGCCTTTTACCTAATACGAAAAAGCTACCCAAGTGTATTTGGGAATACTCAGGACCGTCCAGAATCTTTATTCTTAACGTAAAATAGAGATAATTTGAACTGGCAGGATTGTTGCAAGAGAAGTACATAGAACAGTCTCTGCACAAATTAAATGCCCACAAAGTATTGGATTGAAGAACACCTAAAAGGACTTTTAAGTACAGAATACACGTTGGTTTTTAAAAATTTGAAATACATATTATGCAGAATCCTCCTTTTGAAGAACAAAAGTTTCAGTAGTGAGTACAAGTGATTTGATTGATTGCACATAATTTTGTGTGTGTGGTGCTGGGGATTGAAGCCAGGGCCTCCTGTGTGCTAAGCAGGCACTCCATGGAGTCAACAACCCCAGCCCTTGAATGTAATTTTTAACCTTAATGTTACAGTAACTATATAATTAAATATAGTTTATTTTCTGCTTGAGATCCTTAGGAGTATTCGTGATTTGATAGCATTTTATTTTAAAAAGCTAAGCTAAATGAGAATCTTTTTTGATTTTTCTCTGGGAATCTCCTATTTTCCCTGAATTTTGGAAGTGTCATAGAAATTTGGAGCATGTTGTCCTTGATAAGTTTTTTACTGTTTTGTAGATAAAATTTGCAGGTGTTTAAATTGATAATATGTGTGTCTTGAGAGTTGGGTACATTTTTGCTCTGCATGACAATATTGATGTATGGGCATTGTTTTATCAGAGGGCTACTTTTAATTGCCAATTTCATAAACTGCTATATAGTAGGCAGTGTATTAGAGGTTGTTTACATATATTGTCTCTTTCAGTTCTCATAACAGCTTTGCAAGTTGGGTATTATGGAAATAGAGCCTTGGAAATTTAAAGAAGTAAAAATTGGTATAGCCAAGATTAGACCCCTAAATCTGTTATATTTTTGAGGGTGAAGTGAATTGGTAGTTTTATTAATATCCTATTGGTTGGGAGCAACTTAAGCATCATATCATTTCAACTGTAAATATGTCAGCATATATGGTAAAAGATAAGGATTCTTCAGCGCTAGCATTTGCTTAAAGGTGATTTTGCTGTCTTAAGAACCGAGATCTCATGGATATTTTAATGATGAATTCATATTGAGGGTGTTTCTTATATAAATTATTTTGTGGGGAACGCAAATTTATTAGGTGGCTAAATAAAATATAGCAAGGATTTTAGGCGGGAATCATTAACTTAATGTATTTTATTAGTAAGAATATAATTAGATATGTTTATGTACACACACACACACACACACACACACACTGGGGATTGAACCCAGGGTTGCTTATCCCTGAGCCACAATCCCCAGTCCTTTTTTAAATTTTGAGACAGGGTCTTGCTAAGGTGCTGAGACTGGCTGTGATCTTGGGATCCTCCTATTTTAGCCTCCCAAATAACTTGAGAGTTGCTGGGCTTGTGGCATACGCCCCGCTATATTTAGATTTTCGTTAAAGGTGGGAGTGAACTATTGATTTGTGGGTAAACTGAAAGAGAATACTTCAAATATTCACTGATTTCTTTGAGATTGAAAATTAGCATTATTAGATAGAATCTGTTATTCAGGCTAGTTTTATCAACTAGGCACACAAACTTGGGAGCTTTAAAATATTTGTTGCCCTAAAATTATCATCAACTTAAGATATTTAACAGAGACCTTCCAATACTGAATTCTAAGTTGTGTTGCAGAAGTTTTCCATTTATAATTTTAACCCATGTAGTCTAGCTTTAGAAACTGAAGTCTTGAGTTACCTGTCAGGTTGCCTGGGTTTGAAACTCAGCTCTGTCTCACTTCTGTCATAGTTACTGTATGACCTCAGCCAAGTTACTTAACTTTTCTGTGCCTTAGTTTCCTCATTTATAAGTATTGTACTTTATATTGTTCAGTGGATATGTTCTTCTAGGAACGTTAACTTTAGAAAAAATAAAGCCCTGAAAATTACAAAGTGATTTTACAAATTACAAAGTGATCAAGGTACTTGAATCTTATGCCTTTAAATTATTTATTTAAAAAGTAGTAAAATAAAGTAAATGGCATTGAATGTCCAGTTGAAGTTGTAATTATATAACAATGTGCTATGGGTAAAACTTATAAGTCATGAGTACTAGGCTTGCTTTGTTTCACTGATTCATATATTTAATTTATATTTGTTTCTTCACAGGTTTCTTGACCTCCAGAAAGAAAAAAAAAATTGACACTTTGCATCCTGGAAGTGCATTTAGAAGTCTGAAATTAGAAACTTCTTTCAAATTTGGACATGGCTAATCGAGGAGCAACAAGACCAAATGGGCCAAACACTGGAAATAAAATATGCCAGTTCAAACTAGTACTTCTGGGAGAGTCTGCTGTTGGCAAATCAAGTCTAGTCCTTCGTTTCGTGAAAGGCCAGTTTCATGAATTTCAAGAGAGTACTATTGGGGGTGAGAGCCTCTTTTTTCCTTGCATCATTTAATTTAATCCTGCATTGACAAAAAGTATTTTGTGTTCCAAATGGGTGATTATGAATACCTAAATAGATTATTCAGGAAAGAAAAGAGCTGTTCCAGCAGACTCAATGCTTTAAAACCAATCTTGATTTTTGCTAAGATGGCATCTTTTTATATTTTGGGTTCCTGGTTAATTACCAACATGGTTGTATTGTAGCTAAAATACAGGTATAAAAATGAGTAGAATCAAATCCCAAGTTATAATGATTGGAAGGTTTTTCAAACTAGTACTAATTCATGCTTAATTACATTGTTTTTAGAATGAATAGTAAAAGAATTAACCTTTAATTCTATGTAACAAGTATTTTTTATTTATACTGATTTATAAAATTAATTAAGTTTAAAAGCTGCTAGGATATGCATGTAAGAATCCTCTTTAAAGTGAGAATAGAAGAAGGTGAGTAATTAATGGACAGGGACATGAGAGGAAAATGGGACCTGGAGAAAAAGATGGGAGAGGAGGAAAAGGTAGAATAATCATAGTGATTGTGGTAGGATGGAAATGAGGGAAAGGCAAGATACAGGACCAAAAGGAGACCAATAGAGAACGGAAGTTAATCAAACCCATAATTGTATATCAGTGAAATAAAACAGCCTCTTTTAGACCTGTTTCATCTGTGAAAGAAAGCTTTAGAATCAGATGATGTCAGAGGAAATCATATGGCTATAAGATTCAAAATGTTTTACCATCCTGTATTTTTTTAACTTGTTTGTGAATATAGTTTAACCCCATTTAAGAAAGTCTTTTAGAAATACACAAAACACATATGCCCAGTGATATGAAGTAAATTCTTAGAACTTTATACGGTACTTTTAGTGGATGTTCATGAGCAAATACACTTGAGAATTTTATTCATAATATCAGACCCTTGTAGTGAGATAAATTATAGAATTTACCTCGAAAACTTTATTACACAAAGGAAACATACTAGGTAAATTGTATATCCGGTTTAAGAGATTCAGTATAATGGAGATTGTCAGCCTCTTACTTCTGTATATCCTGTGATATACATCTGTATATGTTGTTGTAATGTTTTATTTTTATAATTACTGAGCATCAGCAGTGTAATTCTTATCAGGAAGCTTTTATCTTGAGTTTGAAAACTTTGGCTTTTAAAGAATTTTGATACATAATATATTACATATCCTTTGCAGTATCTCTGTCTTAATAATGAAATAGTATCTCTTGTGAAGGTTTAGCAGATACAACTATAGCCAGAGGAACCTAACCCATCTAATAAAAGACTTTAAAATTTAAAGACTGCTGGGTCATGTCCACCCACCCTAAACCATTTGATGTTCAGTGGTTTCCCAGAATACATAGGTGAAGTTTTTTTTTTTTTTTCCTAATAGAGAAAGATTCAAGAAGACTATTTAAAAGGAAAATTTAACTCCATATCAGTGCATTATTAATATGCATTGTTTTATGTATCTGTATTAAATTTCCATTTAATACCAATTAGATTGTGTATATTTTGTTAATGAATTTTTCATAAAGATTAATTTCTATGTATAAAGTTTCCTTAATGTTTTCCACTATATGGATCAAGTCTGGGTATTTAAAAACAACCTCAAAAGGAATTTGCATCCAAATGTCTATTATTGGTTATTGTATTCTTTTTCAGTGAACATATTTATTTCTTCAGGATTTGAGATAGTATCACTATGATTACAACTATGGACACTAGTTTTTATGCTTTTGTTAACACTCTTTGTCCTTAGGAACTGTGGAAGATCCTAAGCATTTAAGTAATCAAAGGTTTGAACTATTTTATAATCAACCCCAAAGGTCCCAGACTTATAAGTAGTGTATATTTTTGTTTGGGCTAATGTATGGGGAAATTACTTACAAATACTTAACAAAGAGCCTGGTCAACTGTTTTGAATTTAACTGATTTTTATTTATATATTTATTTTGTTACTTGACTGACTACTTATCTCTAGTAATGTTAGTTCTCAAGTGCTCAAATTTTTATCTCTGTTGTGTTCTATGCTGCACTCTTGAATTTGTGGTTTCCAGATCCTTCTGTAAATTTTAAGGTTCTCCTTAAAAATAACTTGAATTCTTGTTGTTCACCATACCCTACACTCCCCTGATCTTGTAACACTTTTGATAAGGTCAGGTAGGTAGGTACTATATATAGCAATTTAGGAAGTTCATAAGAGTTTAAAATCTGCATGATATATATGTCCTTACTGTCTAAAACTAGCCCAGAGGTTAGTAAATAACATTAATGTTCCCTTTTTCACGAGCATCAGCATTACCTAGGAAATTACTGAGTATAAATTCCCAAATACTGAAGGGGGTCAGCAATCCAGGTTTTAACAAGTCCTCCAGATGATTGTGATGCATGCTAAAGTTTGAGAAATTTTGCTTTATGTGTTCTGAGTAATCAGCTTTACGTTTATACTAAAGTTGGTTCTTCCACAAATGGAATAATTGACTGGCCTTCCTGCCTGCCTTCTGCCTTCCCTCTTTTTGTTAAACTGCGATTTTTACAGGATTTTTAAAAATTCTGTTCATGCAAATACTCTATTTTGTGAATTACAAGTATTGTATTCTGCTCACATCCCATTATCCAATATCATTTTCTGTGAAAACTCCTTCCTTCTTACCTATTTTCACTAGTCATCCATTCTTTGTCCCATTCAGGATATTCTTTTGCTCTGTTAGGGAATTGCATCATTTTCAGTAATCTGTACCAATGATGCTTTTTCTTTATTGCCATGAGGATTCAGTGACTGATTATATGCAAAATTAAAGGAGTTAAGTGCCTTCTTTTTAAGCTACTTACCAACAGTTACAACCCCTGGGTAGAGTGCTGCAGTTTCTACATTTAATATCCATCTAATTTCCTAAGGTCAGCATGACATGTTTTGTGTTTGTGTTTTGTGGCATAGGGATTGGCATAATAGGCTAGCGCTCTCCAATGAGCAACATCCCCAGCCCTTTCTATTTTATTTTGCGACAGGATCTTTCTTACTAAGTTCCCCAGACTGGCCTTGAATTTAGCCATCTTAGCCTTCTGAGTAGCTGGGATTTCAAGCATGTGTTCCTGCACTTCCCCAAATTATTTTTCTTTCTTTTTTATTATTGATACCAGAGATTGAACACAAGGGTGCTTAACCACTGAGCAACAGCCCTAGTCCTCTTCTTTTTTGAGGGTTGGGGTACTGGGGATTGAACTCAAGGGCACTCAACCACCAAGTCACATCCCCAGCCCTATTTTATATTTTATTTAGAGACAAAGTCTCACTGAGTTGCTTGTCATCTCACTTTTGCTGAGGCTGGCTTTGAACTCAAGATCCCTCTTCCTCAGCCTTCTTAGCCACTAGGATTACAGGCATGCACCACAGTGCCCGGCTTCCAGCCCTTTTTAAAAAATATTTTATTAAGAAATGGGGTCTTGGGCTGGGGATATAGCCCAGTTGATAGAATACTTGCCTCATATGCACAAGGCCCTGGGTTCAATCCCTAGCACCAAATGGTAAGTATATGAGGTAGTAAATATGTTAATTCACTTAATTAAATTTATTTTTAACTGGTACACAATGCAATGTAATTAGCTTGATTTGAGCATTTCATAATATATGCACATATCAAAACATCCCATTATATGTCAAGTAAATATAGTTTTTGTCAATTATGTCTTAATAAAGCTGGGAGTAGAAGTAAAGTTTCTTTCTAAACGGAAATAAAAGCCAGCCAGAAATTTAAATTTTAGTAAGTCTTTTTTTTTTCCAAAACAGAAAGCTTTCTGTTGCCTTCCCTTGTTAGTATTCAGAAAGACTTCATGTGTATATGGTATCTTTTTGCATCTGCACATTGTTAAATATTTTTGAAGCTAGGCACAGTGGTGCACGCCTATAATGCCAGCTCTTGAGAGGCTAAAGCAAGAGGATCACAAGTTTGAAGCCAGCCTCAGTAACTTAACAAGACCCTTTCTTTTTCTTTTTCCTTTTTTTTTTTTTAATTATTTTTGTAGTTGTTGATAGACCTTTATTTTATTTATTCATACGTGGTGCTAAGAATCAAACCTGTGGTCTCACACATGCCAAGCAAGTGCGATACTGCTGAGCCCCAGCCGCAGCCCCGCAAGACCCTTTCTTAAAACTAAAAATGATTGGGATATGGCTCAGTGGTAAAGTACTTGCTATCATGAGGTTCTGTGTTTGATCTAGGGAAGGAAAAAAAGGGGGTACATTTTGAGAAAGGACAGAAGACCCATAAACCAATTGCCATCATATGGGTTTTTGATCATGAGAAAAATGTTTTTAGAAATACGTATTGTGCCTTATACACTGAGTTAAAATTTAAGAAAGTTAGTCATTTGTTCTCAAGTAAAAGAATAGTGTCTTGATTGCATGATATTTTCTTCTAGAAAGTGTATAGCTGGGATTTGATAGATAGTGTTACTTAGAGAAATTGGCAGAGTTGGTATTTCATATCAATTTGTACTACTTAATCTCCTAAAAATGGCCTTTTAAAATTTTTTAAAAAGAATTTTTTAATATTTATTTTTTAGTTTGTCAGTGGACACACATCTTTATTTTTTATGTGGTGCTGAGGATTGAACCCAGCGCCCCATGCATGCCAGGCGAGAGCGCTACCACTTACAAGTTCAAGGCCAGACTGTTTCAGAAATAAAAGGTTTGAAATGTGGCTCAGGGGTAGAACAGATATTCTTCTAAATTGTTATTTTTCCTCCATATTAAATAATACCATCAATATATTTTAACCTTTTTTCCTCTTAAAATTTATTTCATGGAAATCAGGAATATTTTTTTATTTTAATTTAAAAAAAATTTTTTTTTTAGTTTTAGGTGGACACAATATCTTGATTTTTTTATGTGGTGCTGAGGATCGAACCCAGTGCCTCATGCATGCCATGCGAGCGTGCTACCACTTGAGCCACATCCCCAGCCCTCATGAA